AGAAGCGGCTGCGTGCGCAGCCGGGCAGCGCAAGGCATCCTGGGAGTCGTAGTCCCGCCGCTCCCCGCGCGAACTACAGCCGCCATGTTTGAACGCGATAGGCGGGACGGGAGGAATCTGGGGGGGGCGCCGCAAGGCCGCTTGGGAGTTGTAGTTCTGTCGCCGCCCGAGCCTCATTGCCGGGATTGGAGGGCGGGGGAGCGGGAAACTACGAAGCCCAGGGGAGGGGCGAGAAGAGGGGCCGCAGAGCATCATGGGAGGAGCGGTCTCTGCCTCCCTCCCCCTCGGGCCTCTTAGGAGCAGACCGGAGCCAGACACATGGAGGAGGGGCCCGGACACCTGAAAGCCATCAGACATGGGCGTGGCCTGACCCGAAGGGGAGGGGCTTATCCAAAAAGGGGGGTGTCCGCACGCAAATGGGCGTGGCCTGTCCCGATGGGGTGAGACTTCACCCAGAGTAACTGCCATATTAAAGGGCGGGGCCAACACAAAGAGGGCGTGGCTTCCCCTAAACGGGCGTGTCCCTGCAAAATGGGCGTGGTCTAACCCTCGTGAGGGCGTGCCCCTTACTGGGACAGGCGGGATTTCCCGCAGGGGGCGTGGCCTCATCTCCGGGAGTGTCCGGCCCCCACGAAAGGGCGTGGCCTCCCCGCCGGGGGCGTGGCTTCCTTTACCCTCCTTGATGCTGGTGCTGCTCCGCCGGGTGCTGGCTCTGCTGTACTCCATGGCGCCCCGCGTGCTCATCTGCCCCGGCACGTTAATTGGTACCGGCCATGAAGGGTTAATTACGCTGACCTACAGGTTAATTACAAATATGTTAATTAGCCTGTCGCGGGTAGGGCTTCTTCTGACGCATTTCTGGTTAGGGTGAGGTAAATTAGAAGGTGTGTTAATGAACCGACGTCGGGATGACGTCACGCGCCTGCGAGCCGATCCTACTGTCGTTAATTCCTTCCCAAATTAAATCTAATTCTATTGAAATGGGAACAAATCGACGCTAATTGGCTGGGTTCGAGGCAGAAAGGCATGCTGGGTAATATGCAAATGAGATTACCGCGCACCTCACGCTAGAAGCAGGGAAGCGCGCGGGGCAGTGGCCGTTACTAGGCCAGCGAGAGCGCGAGGGCCCTTGCGCATGCGCTGTGCTGGCCTCTAGGTTCGAAGCACGGGGCTGCGCATGCGCCTGTTTTCGGTTTCGCACGCGCGCCCCCTGACTTGGTTTCACTGGGCTCCCGTGGGCAGGAGCCTGGCTCCTCCCTTCACCGCCTGACGCGTTACGTGACGTCAGGGGCAGTGGCCGTTACTAGGCCAGCGAGAGCGCGAGGGCCCTTGCGCATGCGCTGTGCTGGCCTCTAGGTTCGAAGCACGGGGCTGCGCATGCGCCTGTTTTCGGTTTCGCACGCGCGCCCCCTGACTTGGTTTCACTGGGCTCCCGTGGGCAGGAGCCTGGCTCCTCCCTTCACCGCCTGACGCGTTACGTGACGTCACTCACGCGCCCCGCCTGCTTTTCCCGCGTCTGGAACACGGTGCGCACGCACCTGGGG